AATCCATATGAATTTTCTTCATTTCGTCTGTTCGTCAGCGTCGTAATAGATTGATTGGTCACCTACAAAGTCAAACAGAAGAATGATCAGTTCAACTTCACAGGTTGAGCAATCCATCATGTAGTCAGTGTCACAATGTCATGCTGGAAATATGCTCCAGATATTTTCGAATAGTGATGGTGGGCATATCCGATATTTAATCGATATAGAATGTGTCCGATGCACTTTGTAGATGAATGGTGACGATCAGTGATGATCGACAATTGCAGTTGTTGTAGCTTCACTCTCGACAACTTAACGCAACCATTGACGCCATAAAGAGCTTATCGAGTAGTGCCACGTTATAATGGCATAACTATTGTGCCTCATACTCTCAATCAAATAGCTTCTCATTCACCAGGAAACTGTTCGTTGATCATCAAATAAACGAATTATTATGTGAATACACAAAAGTGAACGTTCATCGGATCGCTCATAGCGTAATCCATAGCGTAATCCAGAGGTGTACATCATATGCCATCGATTGCTCCCGTTATCATTCCAGTTGCGGAATACTGATTAGCATAGTACCAGTGAACTTCGTGTTATTTTGAATATTTCTAACGCAACTCGAACATGATCAATGTACAGAGCGATATTGCTTCGTACGTCATGTTCGATATTGCTTCGTACGTCATCATCGTCAACGTGTCGTAGCTGTTCGAATTTATCGGCTTGCTCATAATCCGAAGGTACGCTTATGAAAGTGACATGTTGAAGCTGAGGGCTACAATCGAATGTGATTCCTGTTTGCTGATAAGACCCAATTGTTAGAACTGAGATGTACAGCTTCCTCCTTGTGTAGGCAATTATTAGTTTTATTCTACATGTATACTCAGAGACGGTTATCGAGGCTGAATTTTTCATAAACCTTTTCATGCTTGTACTTTCTCGATAAATTGCATATTTCAGGGAACAATTCTGTTGCCATTCGAGAGAAAATGAAGTATTTCTTACTGATGTTCGTTTTTGCGTTTGCTATTATTACATTGGATGCGCTTCGTTGCTTTGAAGGCTATAGAACGTTTCTCAATTTCGAACATGATGATCCCGAAGAGGGCTTTCAAGAGGTGCAATGCGAAGGATCCGGATATTGCGCTGAATGGGATTTCCAATCAGGTGGTTATGTGATGCCTCTTTCATTACGTTGATTCTCTTCATAATCTAGTTGTTGACGTCGCATAACGAAACATTGATTGTGATAAAAATTGATCAATTTTAATGGTACCTTACCACTGAGATGCGGTTTATTTTCGATTCGGAATTGCTGAATGTGAAGAATTATACCTTCATCAGCTATGTGAATTTAAATGCTTCATTCAGTTTCAGACAAGTACAACATCTCAGCGAATGTGAGAGGATGCGAAAAACAAATGGACCGCTTAATGGGTTTCACCAATTGCAAAGTAAGTGGTTCTTGTATACGCTAATGTGAAACAGCGCCTTTATTATGCCAATGCTGAACGATGTTTTATTGAAGAAACTGGATAGCGATGAAGACGGGAACGGGTACATGGAGATTGGAAAAGAAATTGGAGTGAAAGTTCGCTGTTGCAATACTGATTTATGCAACGGTAAGTGTACGATTGTCAGAAATATACAAGTAGCGGTTGGAAGTACAAGCCAGAACGAATTGTGCTTTTTTATTCCACGAAACCAGTGCAGATCTCTCTGATAAGCATTTGCTGAGGAATACTCGCAAATGTCTCGCTAAATTGCATGAATTGAAGCTTACGAATGAAGGTGTTTTCGGCCATATTTGGATAAATGGCTCACGAAGATTGATCCCAACAAACGAAGAAATCTTAAAACACACAGTTCTCGTTACCACGGAGAATTGTCTGTTTTAGTCACCTATACCGCAACTTTCAGATCCGGAAGCGAAAACTGCAATTGCAAATGAAGGATCGAAGACAAATCCAAACGCTGTGACTGTTGCTGAAAGTAGCCCAATGAGACCTTTAATATGTTATTCTGGTACGGAACCGAATGAACGCATAGGAAATTTCCCACCAGAGGATAAATACGAAACGAGGAACTGCACTAAGTCGAATTATTGCGTTGACTGGTCAGGCATATCACGTTGGTGTTATACATGAAGTTGATTTCGTTTATGCCTTACTAACTCTGTTTGTTTGGTATCGAAAGGAAATACGAAGCGAATCCGTAATGGAGGATCTATTCTTTGGTCACTAGTTCGTTGATTTGAATCGTCGGTAATTGCAACTCATTACCATCTTAGAGCCCCGACACTTCATTCCTGACTATCGATTTCACCGCTCGTTGGAATCGTCGGTTTCCAGCCACACCAGTGACCTGGCTTTCATGTTTTAAAAACATAGTGTGTGTCGAACTATGACTTGCGGACCCAGAAACTTTTTGTGACCATTTCAGAAATTTCATTAGATACCAGAACATGAAGAAGTTCTCCGATGCCAATTCATCTCAGTTTTGGAGAAATCTTAATGACTCCGATAAGTTGTTTTGCTATTCGACAATCATAAGGAATGCAAATACGTAAATCTCAAAGATTTCACTGAGATGATCTGAGCAGACCTAAGATACTTTCAGACTCACTTAATAAGGAACGCTACGCGAAAGCCTGTCAAGGCGAATTCGAAGCGTTACCGGATTTCGATAGAGAAATTGATTGCAAGGTTTGATATTTCATATAACCATGAATCGTAGTTCCTTGAGTGATTTCTCGCTCTCGAACAGAATCTCTTGCATGATAAATCCTCGCAAAATCTTCAGGATGTCACTAACGCATTTTTCTCTTCGTCTTGTGGATTATCATCTGCTCGATTAGATTGCTGATTGCTAGAACTGCGAAAAAGCATATTTAAGAGAGTTGCGAGCCGAGGGGATAGGCTGGATTTGATGGCCGAAGAAATCATCGATAATCATATGTACACGTATAATGTATGATTGCTTGTTCTATTGTAGGACTTGATCGAAAATGGTAATGGATGCACAGAAGTTGAAGAGGGCTATCGCTATGACACACAATGGTGCTGTTGTGCGTCAGATCTGTGCAATGATAAAGGAATAAAATTTGAACCGATTTATATCGAGGCTCAATAAAAATAATTTACGATAAACTTGCGATCACTGTTGAATAAAAGTATCCTTTATTTTTCAAGAAGTCATTCAACAGAGCTGGTCTGAAATGATATCAATCACTTGAAGTCATTTGAAAGTTTCTGAGGAAATGTCAACGAGACGTTTCGAGTAGTTTCAATAACTGATTTACACCACAGTGCACCCAAGTCCTTATCCGAAATAGTGTTCAGCACTTCATCAGCGTTATGTTAACTTACCCAAGCTGAAAAATCAAACTGGAGGAAAATCAAAAAGTTGAGAGAATGGTGTAAAAACAGAACGTATGAGAGGATAGAACAGAAAACAATTGAATACTTCGTCAGAAATGTATGTGTAACACTAATATTCACATTAATTGTGATTCTTTGACGATTTTGAAGTGTTTGCGATGTTGTTTTACTTGGGTTCATCTCTTCAGAGGTTGTATCAACCTAAATGTCCATTGAAAATATCGGTGAATTGACGAAATTTTCTTCTTTTCTTTGAATTGCTTGCTTTCATTTTTTCGTTATACTATAACCTGCTCGTTGCAAAAAAAAGCCGTTGATTGGAGTTATTGAGCAACGAAATTTTGCCCGTCTGCTGATGTTTTCGGCACGAAAACAACTCCAAAAAGTTGAAAAACATGTGACTGAAAACTTTGAAAAGCAAAAACAGTAACTGCGTTTCACTCTCGCAATGCTTGTTTCCCTTTGAATATTTGTGTCTGAACGTCATAAAGAGCTTAGCAAGAGGTCCTACATAATGATGCCATCACTATTGCACTTCATATTGTCAATTCAATAGTTCCTTGCTCATTGGTAACTGTTGGTTGATCATCGCATAAACACAAACTATTATGCAAATACAGAACAGTAAACGTTCATGGGATCGCTCATAGTGAAGCAATGAAGTGATTCAAATAATATTCATCAGTTTTCACCGATTGCTTCCGCAGTCTTATCCGTTATGTGATATCGATCAGCTTAGTACTAGTGAACTTCGTTTTCGTTGCTCGACTACTGTGTGGCACGATTACTAGCTTCAGCCATCAACTCAAAAATCTCCCCTCAATATTTTCGAGCAGTGACACTGTTTACTTTTAGTGTTTCCGATACAATTGTTGTAGAGCGTATTTCGTATACTGATCAAAAATATGCTCAATTCACAGAGGGTTGTGGTGCTGTGCTTGCAATCGATCCAGTCAAGCAGGCATAGCGTTAAAGAGAAGCGAACAATTGAGCCTGCTTCAACAAAATTCAATTCTCAACCGTGAGCAATGTACAATACAAATTAATAGTGCTTCACATAGCGTATACTGGAAAGTACTTTTACATTCCAGTGTCATCTTGTTGTAACTGTAAAAATTTATCGGATTGATCATAAACCGAAAGTGCGCATATGAAAGTAACACGTTGAAGCAGAGCGCAACAGTCAAATGTAGTTACTGTTCGCTGATAAGTAGTGCTAGGAACCGACAGGTTTTTTTCAACGGTCCCCGATCCAATGCCCTGTCGGAAAACAACAGCAGGAAATTTTTGTGCATCGGTCGGTAGTAACCGATGGTTGGTTTGCCGATGTCCCTGATCTGACCAGCCCTTTCGGTTGTGGTCGAAATAACCCGACTTTCAATCGGTAATTACCGACCGAATTTTCCGGGGTCCATGCGGTTCGGCGGTCAACCATCGACCTCTACTGATAAAACCAAATTGTTGAAACTCAGATGAATAGATTTCTCCCAACACAAATAAACAGTCATATAAATATATACATATGTAAATGTGTATATTACGTTGACCGAAGCAGAACTTTGCCAAACCCTCTTACGGTATGTAGTTTTTCTGACAAATTCCATATTTCAGTGAACAAATTGGTTGACATTGACAAAAAAATAAGAATTATTTCTCATTGATGATCGTTTTGACGTTTGCCACTAATTCAGCAGATGAGGTTCAGTGCTGGCAAGACTATAAATATTCTCAAAATTCCGAATATGATGATCCCAACGAGGGCTTTAATGCTGTGCAATGCGAAGCATCAGAAAACTGCGTTGACTGGGGATTAGAGTCAAGTGGTTATGTGATATCTTTCTCATTGCATTATTCCTCTTCAAAACTACAAAACATGTTGCTCTTCAAAACTCGTAAGGGAACTGATTGCTAAATAGATGAATGGAATTGAATTTGCTAAAGATGGATCAAGTTCAATGGTTTATAACCATTACGATTTCAATGGCTTTAGTTTTGCGTTCGATGGCAAAAACTGAATGCAGATATTGCAAAAACATCGTTCAGCGTTGTCGGAAGTATCGTTCAGTTTGTTGAATGCAGGAATTCTCATATTGTCTATATGGTTCAGCAGCACTTTGATGCCACCACACCTGTTTGACTGGTTCGATTCTGAACAGTTGCTGATACATCCTTACAACATTCTATGGTTGAGCATTTTCACGTATCCCGGTTATTAAAGTTTAATTCGTCTATGTGAATTTGAATGCGTCAAATTAATTTCAAAGGAGCATAATTATTCAATGAATGTTCATGGAAAAGAGAAACGGACCATCAAATGCCCCTCATTCCTAACGTTTACTGCAGTCTGATAGTGAGTGTTTTTCTAAATGCTGATCTGAAACAGCGCCTTCTCCATACAAATGCTAAACAATAATGTGTTGAAGGAACTAAAGGAGAATGAAATCGAGATTACCAACATTACGATTAAAGAAAGTGAATGGAGACTGAAAGCTCGATGTTGAAAAACTAATTTGTGCAATAGAAGCCTATGAACGTTATGAATAATTAAGCATGCTAGCAGAAATCAACTACTAACACTCAGAATCTAGTGAATATGATAAAAAGCCGGAATTAGGAGACCTGCATAGGTCCTCTAAACAAGCATGCATTGAGAATTACTGGAAATCATTTCTATGAATTTCAAGAACTGAAGATTATGAACGGTGACATTTTCAGCTAATGTTTTTGTACTAGGTTGATGATGATAATTGCATGAACAAACCAGCCGACAAAATTCTTTCACGGGTATTCGCCTATCCATTTTTGACACAAAAGCGCAACTTCTAGATCAGAAGCTGAGTGTAGAAGCGACAACCCAAACGATAAATTCAACCTTTCTCCAATGGAATACCCTGAGTTCTCCTTCCCGAATAGAATACCCTGCATGACAAATCCTCCTAGTGATTACTGTACACATGCACGTATACTGTATAATTGCTTGTTCTGTTGAAGGATTTGATCGAAAACGGTAATGGATGCAAAACGGTGCGCAATAGTTACCACTGGTAAGCAGGAATATGCTGTTGTGCGTCGCATTTGTGCAATACGAAGGCACCACAACGGACCAGCACATAATTTAATTTCGAAGAGATCGTAGTTTCAAACAGTTAAGGCCGAATGTGCAACCCTCCGTTACTATGTGCTTTCGGGAATTTGGTTTGATTGCATTACTTTTTTATGATTTCACATTCGTGAAAGGTGTCCGTGAGTTGAAAAATTTTATCACTGTTGAATAACACAATCGATATAGAATGTGTCCGATGCACTTTGTAGATGAATGGTGACGATCAGTGATGATCGACAATTGCAGTTGTTGTAGCTTCACTCTCGACAACTTAACGCAACCATTGACGCCATAAAGAGCTTATCGAGTAGTGCCACGTTATAATGGCATAACTATTGTGCCTCATACTCTCAATCAAATAGCTTCTCATTCACCAGGAAACTGTTCGTTGATCATCAAATAAACGAATTATTATGTGAATACACAAAAGTGAACGTTCATCGGATCGCTCATAGCGTAATCCATAGCGTAATCCAGAGGTGTACATCATATGCCATCGATTGCTCCCGTTATCATTCCAGTTGCGGAATACTGATTAGCATAGTACCAGTGAACTTCGTGTTATTTTGAATATTTCTAAC